AAATCAAAAATACTCAGTGTGGTCAAAGCTGCAGTAGGCCAACCAAAAGATGCAAAATACATTACTCTGGCTTTCAAAGCACCCTGGCTTCTTCATCAGGCAAAGATGTTTTTTAAAATGAGTGAGTGTATGTGTGCGCATATGTCTGCCTTCAAGTCACCTGTCGACAGAGGGTTAGGAGGATCCACAGATCACCACTTTGAGTAGCACTGCAGCATACCGTATACAAATTATATTCTCCCCATACACAGCGTATGTGTAAGTGTCTTCAAGTCATCTGTTGACTTTAAAGCTATACCCATGAACTTCACAGAGTTTTCTTGAGGAAGGAATACTCAAAGATGGGTTTGCCAGTTCCTTCTGAAATATAGCCTACAGCACCTGGCATTCATTGACATCCTCCCATCCAGGTATAATCAGGACTGACTCTCCTTAACTTCTAAGATCAGACAGAATCGGGTGCCTTTAGGGCAGGGGTAGGCAACCCAAGGCCCAGGGGACGAATGCGGCCCCCTAAGGCCTTTGGACCGGCCCCAGGCCAGTCCTGCCGCCACTGCCATGATGATATTGATCATTGTTGTTATTACTTGTTCTTGGGGTTTTCTTGGCAAAATCTCCACAGGGGTTTTGCCATGGCTTTTCTGGGGCTGAGAGAGTGTGCATGCATATTTTAAAATTTTTTAATTTTTTTTAAAAAAATTACATTTATTTATTTATTTATTTATTTATTTATTTATTTTTGGTGCTTCGGCCCCCCAATTGTCTGAGGGACAGCAACCTGGCCCCCAGCTCAAAAAGTTAGTCTACCCCTGCTTTAGGGGACCAAAAGTCTGCTAAAGGCACAGGGGATGAAAAGTAACAGTGTCAGTATCACAGGTCTGTATCTTGCTTGAGCTGTGCTTCCAAAACTAAAGTGATGTATTTTGTATCATTCATTTGACCTATAAAAAGCTATCATTGCAATGTGTATCTTTTATTTTGCTGTATGGGCCAACAAGGATTCTGCTACAATTTTTCTTTAGCTACTCTGCAAACATTTTCTCCCCTGATCAGAGTTTGAGTGTTGCACTGTTTTGCATGTCAATGTGTCAGCTGTTGCAATTCTAACTGTACAGTGGTACCTCTACTTACGAA